TATCTTGTAGCGTGTCTCAAAAATTCAATTCTTTCCTTTTTAGAGGCCATTTTTTTTTCCATTATGTGTATATACCACATTTTAAAAATGCATTTATACATTGGTGTTTTTTTTTGTTAGTTCCACCTTTATGCTATTGTAAATGATGCTGCTATCAACATGGTTTTTTTTTTATTTGTTTGAGTCCCTGCTTTCAACTCCTTTTGCATTTCATACTTAGACGAGGAATTGCAGGATTATATGTTAATTCTATTTTAAATTTCTTGAGGAACCCTTATTTTTTTTTTTTATAGCAGCTATGCTATCGTACATTCCTACTGGCTGACTGTCTTTTTTTTTTTTTCATCCTCTCTCTTATCCTTGATGTTCCAGATGTGATGATCTTTCTTGATTTTTTTTTATATCAAACTCATCCCTGCAGTAGAGCATTTGCAATAGTTGTTTCCTCTTTTTTTTTAGCTCACTACTCCGATGTTTGCTTGACAGGCCCTTTCAGATCATCCACTTTTTTTTTAAATGGGGAGAATTTCCTGGATGAGTCAGTGATTGTCCCACCAGCATATTTTTTTTTAAGATCTCACGATTGTCTTGTTCATTTATTAGGACTTATTTTTTGTCTTTTTTTTTTCAACACTATATTTTTAGTACCTAGAACTACGACTAGTATATAGGAGATTTTTTTTTTTTGTTGAAACGTCACAGGGATTAATATAATACATGACCTAGTGTGCCGTTTTTTTTTATTACACATTAGTGGAAACCTGTGTAACATCTCTACATTAATGTTACATTTTTTTTTATGTCTACATATCTGTTACAAAGAATAACATGTCTACATATGTTACATATGTTACAAAGAGTAACATGACTACATACATGTTAGAGAAAATAACATGTTCTTTAGTTTTTTTTTATACCAAGAGAGAATCCATAATTCAATAATATAATCAAGAGTGGCAATTTTTTTTTTTTTCTTGATCATTGAGACTCTAGTAAAAATTTGAGGCCTTGTACTAGTTTTTTTTTTTGATGCTGTTAAAGACATACCCGAGACAGGGCAATTTACAGAAGCAAGTTTTTTTTTGGACTCACAGCTCCATGTAGCTGGGGAGATCTCACAATCATGGCAGAAGGTGAAAGGCACATCTCACATGGTGGCAGACAAGAGAAGAGAACTTGTGCAGGGAAACTCCCCTTTATAAAACCATCAGATCTATATTCATTGTCATGATAATAGCATGGGAAGGACCCATCCCTGTGATTCAATTACCTCCCTATGGGTACCTCCCACAACACTTAGGAATTGTGAGAGCTTCAATTCAAGATGAGATTTGGGTGGGAACACAACCAAACCATATCATTTTTTTTTAATTTAAACATTTAAGGCAAAATGTGCTCTTTGGTTTCAAATTAACTCTTTTTTTTTTCTACTACTCCTCTGTGCTTCATATGTGCAAGCAGTGTCTTAGAGATATTTTTTTTTTGTTTCATGTACTTCTAAGCAGCAAATTTCAGTTGCAGACTCCAAATAAGTAATAGTCATATTATATATCTTCCACAGCAAATTTTCTAAATTAATATTTTATAGTTTTTTTTTATAGTAACCACTTTCCTAATCCATAAGGTCATCTATGTTAGAGAAAACTTTTTTTTTTAGCATAAAAGGAAAATTGTTATTTCTGCCTTTGTATTAAGTGAGTGGTTTTTTTTTGGCTATCATGGATTATGAACAATCTCCTGGCATAGTTATCATGATGATTTTTTTTTTTATTATGAATGGCTTGGGTCTAATACTACCTCGATAGGAACTGTCCTTTTTTTTTTTTGAGTTTAATTTGGTGATAAAGGGTCATTAAGGCTGGGCATGTAGACTCACATCTATAATTCCAACACTTTAGACGGCCAAGGCGGGTGGATTGCTTGAGTCCAGTTTTTTTTTACCAGCCTGGACAACATGGCAAAACTCCATCTCTACAAAAATATAAAATTTTTTTTTATAGATAGATAAATAAAATAAATAGATTGATAAATAAATTAGCTGGGCTTTTTTTTTCCTGTTTGTAGTCCCAGCTACTAGGGAGGTTGTGGTGGGAGGTTGACTTTTTTTTTTGGGTTAGAAGCTGCAGTGAGCTGTGATATCACCACTGCAATCCAGCCTGGGAGACAGAAGAAGATCCTGTCTCTGTCTCTCACACACACAAACCTAATTAGTATTTAGATGAAGAGGCAACATATCTTCTTATGTACTAACTTTTTTTCTAATATTAAAAATTTTTTTTTTGCTTGCCTCTAGGATTGAAACATTTTCATACAGTGAAGGATAAAGGGGTTTTTTTTTTTTTAAAAGCTCCTCTTTTTCAAGAGCCAGTTGGTGTATGCATTACAATGATATGTTTAAAGCACCGATGAATAAAATTCTGTAGTTACTAACTTGACCAATTTGTTTTTTTTTTATTCGTTGGTTTTCAGAAATATGGATAGTTACTGTTCTGAAAACATTTTAACAGTTTAAACGGTTTTCCCTTTTATTCTAAAAGATGTTAAATATTGTCATTCATTTTTTTTTGATTTCATATTGCTTTTAAAAAGTCACAAATGCAGAAGATCTAGTTTATTTTTTTTTTGTATCATTAGGCAGATTATCTTGTTTTAAAAGTCAGTGCAAAAACTTCAAATGTGCTAAACAGAACTGACTGAGAGTCCATTACATTTCAAGGGCACTGGTGAGACTGTGGCAATAGGGTTGAAAAGTATTAATCCATCCTTTTCATCACTTTTATTACTTTTTTTTTTTATTTATATTAGGAAATACTTCACAAACATCGTGTTTCTGCCGTTAAGGTTTTTTTTTACATTTGAGACATAATTTTTTATGATGTCTTTGCATATTATATCATAGTTTTTTTTTGGGCAGACAAATAATAGCTTCGCTTTTTGCTCACAAAAGGCCATCTTTTTTTTTTTTGCATCTTTAGAAAATTCTGTCGATGTGGCAACTTTAGAATCTTTTGAATTTTTTTTTAATCTTTTGAAAATGGTACCTATTTTGAAAACTTGAATAAGAACATGCTTTTTTTTTTCACTTAAGCTAGAAGTGGGAATGCTGCATATGAATAAGAGTGGTGGGTTTTTTTTTAGTTTTGGGTACTACATTGAGGAAAAAAAGTAATATTACCTCTAGTCATTTTTTTTTCTTGTATAATTTGGCATATGTTACCTTCAGAGATTTTCTAAATCACTGGACACAGACATTTCTGGAACATAAATAATGAACAGAATCACTTGAATAAAATTCAAATTTTTTTTTTTTTTGAGTACTTATTAATTGCCAAGAAGTGTGTTAAGCACTTATTGATTTTTTTTTGGGCATATTCTTTCTTATATATCTTTGCATAATACTTCCCTGATTTTCAAAGAATAGGCTACATGTGCTTGTATTTAGCCAATCAAAATATTTATCATAATCTATTTTTTTTTTCTTTTTACTTGCCTATTTCTCATTAGTCTATAAAATCCAATAGTCCAGTTTTTTTTTCTGCCATATTTGTTCTTCCTATATCCTGAACATTATAGGTACCGAGGCTTTTTTTTTAAACATAATAGGTGTTGTATAAATATTTGTTAATTGGCTGGGTGTGATGGCTCAAGCCTGTAATCCCAGCACTTTGGGAGGCTGAGGCAGGTGGATCACGAGGTCTTTTTTTTTAGATAATCCTGCCCAAGATGATGAAACCCCATCTCTACCAAAAATACATTTTTTTTTCAAGTGTGGTGGCAGGCACCTGTAATTTCAGCTACGCAGGAGGCTGAGTTTTTTTTTTGCTTGAACCCGGGAGGCAGAGGTTGCAGTGAGCCGAGACCGTGTCACTGCTCTCCAACCTGGGTGACAGAGTGAGTCTCTGTCTCAATAAATAAATAAATATAATTTTTTTTTTGATTGGTGTCCAGAAAAAAAAATATTTTTTTAGGACTAGGAAACAGGTTTTTTTTTCAACATAAAAATCAGAACAATTTATTATTAAAACTTACTAATTTTCAATTTTTTTTTCCTTTAAAAGAAAATGTATGTCAGGGTGGCATGCACATTCTCTTTTTATTTTTTTTTAATATTTGAGAATTTATTTGCTACTCATAATGAGTATGTTTGTATGAATTATCTCATTAAATCTTCTCAACACCATATCTTCATTCTACAGGTTAGGGAACTGAGTTTTTTTTTGGATAAATAATATCTCAAAATCTCACAGACAGTGAGCATATAGTACAATTTTTTTTTCTGCTCTTTCTTACTTCCAGAGCTCAGGCTTTGAGTCAATCAATATTTGGAATGCCAACTTAATCAGAAGGGAAACTCAGAGAAGTGAAATATTTTCATGAGGACTTTTTTTTTGTAAACGACAGAACGTGGCATTACTTTTCACAGGTCCAAAGGTTGTGATTTTTTTTTCCAGGCCACTTTCTTCTTTCTTTTAATAATAAATGCATTTTTCACTGATTTTTTTTTCCATGAATCAAGTACAATCCTAATCATGCTGGACAGATCATGGCCCTTTTTTTTTTTTCCTGTTTCTCCTGACAATTACATAAGAAAGACTGGTTAATTTGTTTTTGTTTTTAGTTAAATCGGAGTAAATAATCATTGGATAAGACAGCATTGACGTTTTATTCTCCATTCTATTATTCTTACATCTGCCTTGGTTTTTACCCTTCATTAATGATACCTTTTTTTTTTCATGTAAAAAGAAAAAAGCCCAAATAAGACATTCTTTGAATAAAGATGCATTGATGCTACCTACCATGCCCATGGAAAGAACTTGGTATTCTTGTGTGCTTAAGATTTTTTTTTACAGTGAAATCCAACGTAGAAAATGTATCACATGCTGAAATAAAGAGTTTTTTTTTTAATAGGTGATGCATTATTTGTCTTGCTTAAATGGTGTTCTGCCATGCTACATTTTCTGTTATGAGACATGCTGATGATGCCTCTTTTTGAATGCTAGAATCTCAATTTTTTTTTCAACCAAGCTCTCTCCATGTGAGGCCCCAGACCAACTGCATCATCATGAGTTGGACTCCTCCCTTGAACCCAAACATCGTGGTGCGAGGTTATATTATCGGCTATGGCGTTGGGAGCCCTTACGCTGAGACAGTGCGTGTGGACAGCAAGCAGCGATATTATTCCATTGAGAGGTTAGGTGAGTATCTGCGATTTGTTTATTCTATTAAGGGGAATTAATTTTTTTTTTTAAATAATTTTATTTCTTGGAAAACTGTTCCATGGGATTGTGGTTTCTTTTTTTTTCGTGTGTTAACTCTGAAAGCAGCTCTCTATCAACACACACACACACACTTTTTTTTTCACACACAGACGCACACATACACATTTCTTCTTTGAATTTGGAATTTCTTTTTTTTTATCAAGAGAGATCTGTAATGGGAGTTGCTCTGGTGTGTGCCCTTGCTTTTTTTTTTTAGGATACAAAAAGTGCATTGGGCCATTTTTCTTTTCCCAGTGGTCAATTTTTTTTTTTGATCCTAATAATTTCTGTAAAAAGAAAGTCAACACATTTTTCATCTTTTTTTTTTTTGGGAAAATGTTCTGTTAATTTTTCTTTAACCTTGAATTATCTAGTCATTTTTTTTTCTTTTCCCTTAACATTCACAAATATGAATGTTAAAGACTATGTCATTATTTTTTTTTAAGAAGATGAAAGAAGGAATTTTCAGTCATGACAATACATCAGAATGATCAAACTCCATCCTGCATGTTTCCCTGCCTCTACCGATCTAGGTTTTCTTATTGTGCTCAACTCAACCTCATTTTTTACTGAATATAATGCTTCAGTTGTGATATTCTGAATTCTTTTTTTTTTTGTTCATTGAGAGAGGTCTAATGTGTGTAAAAGTGTTCATATTCATTTTTTTTTTTATTTCCCATAGTGCTGTAGGAGGTTATATTATTAACACAGAGAAATAATTTTTTTTTGATGTATCAGGATGCCAGTAAGTTAAATAATTTTCATAAAGCAAAATGTAAGTTGATTCTGCCTGTTGATTTCATACCATATTATATGACCCCACTGGAAATGCATTTTTTTTTGGCAGGCAAGGTGTAGCGGGTGGGGGGATTTGCAATGTCTCTCACAAATTTTTTTTTTGTGATGAGAAGCCTGATTTGAATTTGAATAACTAAAATGCAGTAGCATTTTTTTTTTTTCTCAGTAAAGGAGGAAAATTACACTGACCCATTCTCTCTATAATTGCTTCAAACACTAATAAGAGAAACACCTACTGAAAATCTCCATAATTTTGGTTAGCTTGGCATTTACAAATAATATTCTTTCCATCAGTTCCTGAGTTTGAATGTAAAGGCAATTTTTTTTTTCATATTTATGGCTGTCAAACCTATGTCAGGGGACTCCCACTTATCCATTTTTTTTTTTCCACCATCTTTGACAGTTCATCTTGATGCCACTCACCAGACAGAAGGAGGGAGGTCAGGAGGGAAGTCAGGACTCAGAGCAAGTCAGGAGGGAAACTGCATTGTTTTTTTTTTCCTTTAGATAATGATTATCTTTGTTACCAAAAAAACATTCCAAAGGTCTTTTTTTTTAGTCAAGTTTAGGTGTTTGGGAGATTAACATTGGCAAATCTCCCCAAATGCTTAACAAGAAAAACAGAAAAAGCCTCTGGAAAATCTATTCTAAAGAGCTAGGAATTTTTTTTTAGGTAAAATGGGATATGAACCTGTCTCAGTAATAATTATGAATTTGCATTTTTTTTTTTACCTGGAAACAGTAATTACACACACACACATAGATAGGTATGTAAGTTTTTTTTTTTGATACTCTTTTAACATAGTCTCGTGTCTTAATATGAAATACAATAATTTTTTTTTTGTTCATTAAACATCCGCATGGTTACCATGAACTGCCATTTTTCTAACATGTGTTTTCACTATTTAGCCAAAGTGTGTGTGAGAGACATACCTTAAGCTCTAATCTTTATAAAGATAAGGATTTATTCAAGTCTACGTTCACGCTGCAAATACATCACCAATTGTTTTATTTATTCTAGTGAGCATTAAAATTGACACATCAGTTTCCGTAGTAACTTTTTGAGAAGGTATTTATAACTTTGTTTAATTTTTAAAGTTTTTGAAAGGCAAAGTTGTTTTTTTTTTACATATACATAATAAAGAAAAGGAAATTTTATGTTTTAAGGACTGTATGACAGGTATACAACTAAAAGTGAATTAAAGTAAGTTTAATTCATTTAAGCATAGGGTCAGTCATAACTTCAAGTATCATGGTTGTATATTAAACTATAAAAAAGTTATTTGTTGTATAATTGACCAATAAACCCCTTCATCTATTTCATGAGAAAGCAAGACTTCTAAACATTTTTTTTTTTGCAGTTTAGACACCAGACACTGTGATCAGCTTCAGGACTGGAAATATTTTTTTTTCTTGAGTAATATCTAATATTGCCTAATTAAAAGCAAACAAACAACTTGTTTTTTTTTGGCATAGAGCTTCATTAATCAATATTTATACTATTAAATATTTATAATTTTTTTTTTGACATTTTACTCCTTTTAGTTCAATAGCCCTAGTGCCAGACTTGATATTTTTTTTTTACACACAAGATCTGAATTTAATACTTCTTAGCAAAATTAATTTGAAACCAAACCACTTTTTAAAAAACTCACTATCTACCTACCAATTGATCTATTTATCTATCATTTTTTTTTTCTTTACATCTTTATTCACATATTATTTATATACAGTACACTGTGTACTTTTTTTTTGTACTTTTTGGCATTTTTAAAAGAGCATTATTGAGGTATAATATTTGTTTTTTTTTTTAATCTTTTCTCTAATTTATCTCAGTAATACTTTATAGTTTCAAGCGTTTTTTTTTTCAATGTTTACGTTAAACTTATTCCTAAATACGTATGTATATGTAGGAATTTTTTTTTATTAGAAATACCCCCCAAAAACGTGTGTATATATATATTTGGAAATATTTTTTTTTTTATATGTACATATATTTAGGACTATTTAAATTATACACATATATTTGATTTTTTTTTAATATATGTACATATGTATATTATATATACATATATATTTGGATTATTTTAAATAGAACTGTTAAAATTTATTTTAAATCAATTTTTACTATAGTAGATTTATAGTTTTTTTTTATAATATATAGATGTATTGTTGTGTTTATAAATGTATAGAATACAAGATTTTTTTTTATGCTAACCTTGCATCCTAATACCTATTAAATTTACCTATATATTCCATTTTTTTTTTAGATTATGTAAAATTTTCCATTTAATCAAACATATCTATGCAAAGAGTTTTTTTTTTATTTAGTTTCTTATCTCTGTCTCTTTTATGTCTTTCTGTTGCCTTACTTTTTTTTTTAGGATCTGTAGTAAAATACTGAATAAAAGTGCTGAAAGCAGGTATCTTTCCCTTGTGTCTGATCTTAAGATAAAAAAATTTAGTCTTTACCATGAAATAGATTATTTTTTTTTGGCTCTTTATCTAAGTCTTTTGTGAGATTGAGGAAATGTTATACTCTTTTTTTTTTTCTAGAAATTCTGGTCATGAATATTCATTGAATTTTATTAGACAAATTCTTTTTTTTTGAAATTATTTGTTTTCTTTTTTAAAAATACAGTGAATTACATTGATTTTTTTTTTTTGGGTAACCAACCTTGAATTTCCTGTATGTATCCTGTGTGGCCATCACGTATTATCCTTTTCTTATGTTGTTTGATTTGTTAATGCTTATTAAGGATTTTTTTGTGTTTTTTTTTATATTCAGTAGGTTATATTGGTCTACAATTTTCTTTTCCTATAGTGTCTTTTTTTTTTTTCTCTCTTACTCCCATTAGATTGGCTCATAAAATGAGCTGGACTATTTTTTTTTTCCTTCTATTACAGAAAATTTGTGTAAAAATGGATTTTATTTATTTTTTTTTTTTTTTATAGATTTTACTAATGAAATCATCTGGACCTGAGTTTTTTTTATAGGATTTTTTTTTTAATAGATTTAATTTTTTAAACAGATAGAGGCCTGATTTACATACTCTTTTTTTTTTATTTTGGAAAGTTAAATTTTTAATAAAATCCATACATTTCATTTTGTCTTTTTTTTTCATAGAGTTATTCATAATGTTCTCTTTATCTGTTATCTATGGTTATTATTTTTTTTTTCATTTCTGATATTGGTCTTTTCTGGTTCCTCTCTTTTTTTGTGATGTTTTTTTTTTGGTTTACTAATTTTGTTGATCTTTTCAAAAAAGAGCCTTTGACATTAATTTTTTTTTTATTATCTATCTCTGTTTTATTTCTTTCATTTCTGTTGTTATCTTGACTTTTTTTTTCCTGATACTTATTTTAGATGTTGTCTTCTATTTCTAATTTATTGACATTTTTTTTTTATAATGTATGCATCCATTGTTGTTCCTCTAGGTATCATTTTATGTGCATTTTTTTTTTTTTGATATGTTGTATTTGTATTACTATTTAGTTCAAAACATTTCCTATTTTTTTTTTGATTTATTATTCTCCCTAAGTTATTTAGTAAGGTGGTACTTAATTTTTTTTTTTTTGGATTTTCCTAGTTATCTAGTTATTATTGGTTTTCTTTTCTTCCTTTCTTTTTTTTTTTTTTTTTGTTTTTTGTTTTTTTTGGTGTTGTTGTTGTTTTTTTTTTGAGCCAGAATCTCACTCTGTTGGCCAGGCTGGAGTGCAGTGGAGTGATCTTGGCTCACTGCTCCCTCTGCCTCCCAGGTTCAAGCAATTCTCCTGCCTCAGTTTCCCAAGTGGCTGGGATTACAAGTGTGTGCCATCGTGCCTAGCTAACTTTTGTATTTTTAGTAGAGACGGGATTTCACACTGTTGTCCAGGCTGGTCTTGAATTCCTAATCTCATGATCCATCTGCCTCGGCCTCCCAAAGTGCTGGGATTGCAGGTGTGAGCCACCACACCCAGCCTAAATTTGAGTTATTAGTAGCATTTAGCAATATGTCTGATATTGCATATTGCAGTAAGGTCATATTGCATATTGCAGTGAGGTTGCAGTGAGCCAAGATCACCCCTTTGCACTCCAGCCTGGGTGATAGAGCAAGACTCTGTGTCGGGGGAAAAAAAAAAAAAAAAGGAAAGAAAAG